ATCCTAAAAACAGCAAGTGTCAGAATAAAAAATAACACGACAACCATGATCAGTGAGCTGGCCAGCAGAAATAAGTTGCATGGTCAAATCAGGAACATAAGAAACATTAGGAACATGAAATGAAGAAGAAAGAGTGCCACGACCAACAACCGAAAGAGATGAGCCATCAGCAGTTTGAATAGTGAGAGGAATGGAAGGAGAGCAAATAGAAGAAAGAGAGGTACCATCAGGTGTCATATGAAAAGAAGCACCAGAATCAAGAATCCATGGCAAGATACCTGAAGTGGATGGTGGTCTCTCAATAGAAGACTAAGAAGTAGCAGCAGAGAGTACTGGGGCAGGAGTGACAGAACCAGCAGCTCCAGTAGTGACAGAACCTCCAGTAGGTGGAGGAATAGGTGGAGGAACAGCAAGATGACGAAGTAACATGAGTATCTCCTGCTGTGCATCAGGATGCTGAGACTGAGCATGTGAGGAACGCCCACCTCGGCGAGACTGAGACTGAGCCTGCCTCTTCTTCTTGTAACAATGATCCTCATCATGTCCATCTCTGCCACAGTGCTTACAATGAAGGCCACCTGAGTTGCGAGTCACCGAGCCGCCAGAGGCTGCTGAAGCAGGCACTTTGGGAGGAGAACCAAGAATTCCAGACCGAGCAGCCAGAACTGAGGAGGACGTCGACTGAAGTAGACCAGCAGAACGAAGGCGAGTCTCCTCATTACGAACAGCAGCAAGAGCCTCCATCAAAGACACGCACGGCTCACGAGCAAGTAAGTGAGCACGAAGGGGCTCAAACTCAGCACGCAGACGAGTCAGGAAGTCATAGGTGCGACGAAGCTCGAGGTGGCTCTGTTGCTTCCTGCAGGAGTCACAAGTGTCCGGGGACAACTGAGGACTAAGAGTGTCAAGCTCACGCCATATTGCAGATAGCTGTCGAAACAAATCCTCAAGCCTGAACTCACCCCGCCGCAGCAGCTTGTTCTTGACGTAGGGCGGCAATATAAGTGGATGACGGAGGGCTCATAGCGCTGACGAAGAACAGCCCACATCTGAGCAGCATGATCAAGCCGAATAGCCTCTCCTGCCATATGCTTTTCCATACTAGCAACAAGAACAGCCCTAGCACGAGCATCTTCATCCAACCAAGTCCGATAAGCCCGAAAATGAGACATGTAAGAGGCCATATCATCATCATAAGCTTCGCGCAACTTCTTTTGTTCCTCTTCAGAATTTTCTGGAGGAATCACCGGCTGCACTGGACGATCAGGCAATGTTGAACAAGGTAGCTCACCACTAAGAAACTCCCAGAGACGGAGACCACGCATATGCCACCATATATGTGGAACCCAGTCATGATAATTGGTGCCATCGAAAATCACTGGACAACGCGGGATTTGCGCGCCTCCAGAGGGAGGAACAGGAGGAGATGCCATCTTTCTTTCTCCAGAAAAGCAGAAAAACAGCAGCAGCAAAGCGGAAAAACAGAGCACTCGAAGAGCAGAGCAGAGGACGCGCGACGGCAGAGCAGAGCATAGCAGCAGAGGTGGATTTAGCTGTGGCAGAGGGGAGCGATGTGGGAGGATGTGAGAGGGGCGCGAGCTGCGCGGGAGATGAGCGCTTGAGGCAGAGGGGAATCTGCTGCAGCTGGGAAGAGCGGAGCAAGGGCGCGCAAGGAACGGAGGGACAGAGCGAGCCTTGAGGAAGTTCGGACAATGAGCCGCCCGGCCATGTATATGCATGACGGGCGGGCCACGCCCAGCTACGGAGCGTGCAACGGGAAGAGCACGCGAGGGAGAGAGCCGACGGGCGACGGAGCTCCAGGCAAGCGCAAGCGCGTGAGAGAGCGAGGTAAACCCTAGACCCTAGGCTCTGGTACCAAGTTAGAAGGAATGAAGCTCATTCTATTCCTGGGGGCAACTGCCCAAACATGTACATGAGTTGGGCATATATGCATCTAAGCCCTTGTACAAAGAGGAAAATATGCTATTCACCATATATATCTAACAGATTGGAGCAAACAACAGCTGCCAGCATGCGTCCAATTAATCTGTTGTTTGCATACCATCAGGAACCAGGTAAAGCCTTATTGTGATGTGACTTAGGTAGTGTTTGGATGTAGATATTGGAGCCCAGACATTGGAATTGGAATCAGGTTTCCTCAATAGTGCTGTTTGGATGCACATGTAATTAAGATTTGGCATTGAAGACCCAATTCCTTGGTATTGAATTATAACTGAAAGGGGCCTATCCCAATACAGAGCCCGACCCCTCCGTATTGAGTGGAATCGGACCCGACTGCCTCTTCACCGTGCGCGAGCGCCCTCTTCTCCGTGGCCGGCGAGCGCCCTCTTCCCTTCGGCAGCGGGCCAGTGCCCTCTTCCCCGTTGGCAGCAGGCGAGCGGCGGCGTGAGTGGCCTCTTCCCCGTGGCCGGCGGCCAGCGCCCCTCTTCCCCGTGGCCGGCGAGCGCCCTCTTCCCTTCGGCGGCGGGGGAGCGGCGACACGAGTGCCCTCTTCCCCGTCGCCGCGGCCAGCGCCCCTCTTCCCCGTGGCCGGCGAGCTCCTCTTCCTCTTCCCCATGCCCGGGGAGCTCCTCTTCCTCTTCTCCATGGCCGGCGGCGCGAGATCTGCTTCCTCTTCCCCCTGGATGACGGCGCGACCTCCTCTTCGTCTTCCCCATGGCCGACGACCTCCTCCTCCTCTTCTCCATGGACGGTAGCGCGAGATCCGCTTTCTCTTCCCCATGGACGGCACCGCGGCCTCCTCTTCCTCACCCCCATGGCCGGCGGCGTGAGGTCCACCATGACCGGCGGCGCGAGATCCGCCTGCCATGTTGGCCGGGGTCGAGGTCCCCTTGTCATTGCCGGGGTCAAGCTCCCCCATGGCCGTAGTTGAGCTCCCCTACCATGGCTCAACATTTCAATTCCATTCTTTTGCATCCAAACATAAAACGGTATTGAGCTACTTGCTAGGATTCCAAAAGCCAATTCAATGGTCATCCAAACAATAGTATTCGAATTGAAGCCATTTCAATACCATGGCTGCTTTGGTATTGAACCCAATTCAATTCCAGCTCCCCCAATATCTACATCCAAATGAACCCTTAAATCAGAACTAAGCAGTTAACATACTCCAACTCCAATCACTAAAGTTCTATTACATATAATATATATAGAAGAAATTCACCATGTACAGTGCAAATTCAAGGCTTGCCTCGGTTTTTTCCTTCCCCAGACCCCACTCATGTAGGAGTCTCCGGCACTGGGTCTGCCCTTTTATAGTGCAAAAGAAATTCCTAAACCCAAATACAAAACTAACTTTTATCCATAAAGGAAAAGGTCATCTCATTAGAGAACGGAATTTGAAAGCTTATGGTGCTATGTTGAGCATTATTGGCAAGCAGTCAGAAATAAGAGTAAAGGATCTGGATACTAAGTTTTATACAAAGAGATGTTACCATCTAAAATGTAGCTGCAAGAACTGAGGCTAACAATAAAACAATAATATATAGAATTTTAACACTTCGATATAGATATTTTTATCGTATCTCTTCTCATGATCAGCAAACAACATAAGAAATTGATTTCTACAGTACATTTATGCAAAACCTCTCCAGAGGTGCCAGGACTTTTGACCATGTAAGAATAATAAACTTTACCATTGCATATATGTGATAAGAACCATATGCTAGTGGAATTGGTCAGCCCCCAGTTAGTTCTGAAGACAACGTATGTGAGGGAATCCAATCCACTCGTGATAAGTCTACTTGATTATCAAGGTAACATAAGACTAAACCATGGAAGAGAGAGTAGTATGCTGGATAACTAATATTGTATATGAAATCTTCCACACCAGCATACAATCGAAAAGAACATGTATACAAAATGAAAGATGCCCAGGGCTGCTTGAATTACCTTGATGGGCTGAATTTTGGATCAAGTCAAACTCCCAGGGATGCTTTACTGGATTGTGTTTTGAGCTCAGACATCTACAGATTATGTTAGGTGGTCGATTTAGTATTGCTTTTTTAAGAATACCAGGGCTGAGCCCTTGTTTATTGCATTGTGACATGACAAAAGTTAATCAACTTAAAACACTGAATAAGTTCAGTCAGCGACTGAGCTGAGCAGTGGAGCATTTTAGCCGCCAGCCATGACAGGTCTGGACCTCATGTTTCTCCACCTGGAGTTGAGGTAACAACAAGGACTTCCAAGGACTTCCAGTGCAGACATAGATATGAAACGCATAAAAATCAGCAAATGATCAGGCACGGAGTGCGCTTAGAGCGCTACTCAGTACCCACAGGATTAGTACTCCTTCCTTGACAGTCAGGAACCACCAATCTTCATCCGCAGTAGATCTGGCCTGGATGCCATTGCCTCCATATCTGCCATCCAACTGTTGTATTGCTCCAGTTTTTTTACAGGCATTTGATTTATTAGAACTGAAAACTGTGTTAAAATAAAATCGGTTACACAAAAGACTAATTTAGGGGGGATCGATGAATCCACTCTATTAATACTGCAACCTAAACTCAAGGCGATCAGGTCTAGTCCTCGAGATCGAGATAACATTTCATTGATTTCTGAAAATCATGAACAGTTCATCTCAAAATGAAAACTCTTGTCTCAGTTTATACATGCGTTGAGAAAGGTTACTTGCTAGCATCCCATACACGGACAAGCATCAGGGTTATTATTATTATTATTTTAACTGCGTCCTCACGGTTCAGCCATTTTATCGAACAGGTAGAATGCAACGGAGAGCAAATCAGAAGAGAACGAAACAATCGCAACTTGCCCTGCACTGGTAGTCGAGATGGTAGCACCGCCAGGTGCGTCTCATCTATCAGCTTCCTGAGAAGCAGAGAAAGAGGAGGAGACGCCTGCGGAGTGCGGACCGGTCGCTCGCCACGCCCACACGTACGACGAGCCGAGCAGTTTCACACTGTCACGTGACTAGGCGGCGTCGCATACAATTTCCTCGTACTCGCAGGCACTCTATGGCTTTATCGTCATCATCACCAGTGGTTGTGGTTGCCCCGTGCAAGTTCCTGTCCCCCATCGCCACCATCGCCTCCCGCGACCTCCTCTCCTTCGCGACCACAGCAACAAGGAGGCGGCTGCTCCTCTCAACCACCACCACCATTGCCGCCGCCATGGCCTCTTCTTCTTCCTCCTGCAAGGTCATCGACTCCCACCTCCACGTCTGGGCCACGCCACAGCAGGTGCTTAAGCAGGCAACGAGCGCGAGGCGCGAGCCCAGTTTCCGCGTCCTGGCGGGGGAGTTGGGTCATCCTTCTGCGGTGGTTTTTGACCTGTGACTCTCAACTCTATGCGCGCAGGCCAAGGAGGAGTACCCGTACTTCCCAGGCCAGGAGCCCACGCTCCGTGGCGACGACGACTTCTTGCTCGAGGTCAGTCAGAGAACTTCAGACAAAATGCCGCATCTCATCTGACCATCGGCGGCCGGATGAGTTGTTCCCGCACTGTTGATAGATAGATTGGGAGGCGCATTTTCATCCGTGTGATGTGAAATCGTACACAATGCAGCGCTCAACCTCCTCTACCCCAAACCTGAAATCCTTCCTATCCACCGATGTTTCCACTAACTAAAATCACACCAAATTCCCACCAGATCAGGTGCGGATCTGCCGTTTCATGGTCTTCTCATGTCGTTTGGGACGGAGCGGAGAGGGCGTGCAATTGCCGCCAGGGCCCAGGGCGCTGGCTCATACCGCCACCGCCGGATTCGTGGATGGGGAATGGCCGCCGCTGCGCTTTGCGTGGTGGCCGAATACATGCTGTTGCTGTCACGCTCATGCCTCAAGTTGGGCTGGAGATGGCTAAACCGCTAGAGAGCTGATTCGTTGCTTTGGCACCTCAATCGAGGTGAGGCGTGAGGGTTTCTGGGTTTGTAATAATTTATTGTTGATGCTGCCTCACTAGAGGGCCACTGTCCGGGCTCTTGTAGTTGCTTTGCCATGCTCTGGCGCGGAGGCTTCCTCTGCTTCCATGCTTCACAAATCACAACCCGCTCATGGTGGTGTGGTGATGTCTACTCCACATTTGGGCGTCACGACAGACGAAACTCTGCCATTGTCGTTCCCTCCATTCATCAACGCAGGCGCTCCAATTGTGGCCAATGCTTCTCTAGTGGACTTGTTCGTTTATGATGTGCCATCCTTTGATGTTGTCATCTCTTCTGCAAGTTTTGCCTTTTCAATTCTTGGTATTGTCGCTAACCTTCTTGAAAAAATGTGCTCAGACACGATCTTGAAAAAGAAATCATACAAAATTGGCACCATGGCAGAATGAAGGAAACAGCATAGGGCATTCTGTAGCATACATTAAAAAAAACCTCAGCTGGTGGATTATTCGTTTCTCAACACATGGTAGACCTAGCGGCGTTTCCTCCTCTATCCCATTGTTATTGGAACCTGCTATTGAAAATTTAGTTTGAGATTGTATTTAATATTATTTGGTCTCACTAAACCACTATTATCAGTCCTTTATGTTAGCTGCTTGTTGAAACTCAGAAGACTTGATGCATGGGGAGCTGCTGATTAATGAACTATTTTGAGAATTTCCTCTTTTCTTTAGTGTATGAGTGAAGCTGGAGTGGACGGGGCTCTCATTGTTCAACCTATTAATCATATGTTTGATCATTCTTTGGTAACTAGGTAAGATTTTTTTTCTTGCATTGATCCTTTCCAATCCGAGACCACCTGAATTAGTCATATGACTATATCAGTAATTTATTTCATTTTCGTTTTTTTTCCTGTAGTACGTTGAAGAAATACCCATCCAAGTTCATTGGTTGCTGTCTTGCGAATCCTGCAGACGATGGGAGTGGGATTAAACAGCTTGAACACCTGATTGTACAAGTAACCTCTTGAAATTTTCTTCTAACACGACAGGAATGATCCATTCTGCTATTTTCTAATATGCAGTTCCTTCACTTATCACCAGGAAAAATACCGTGCTGTGAGGTTCAACCCAAACTTATGGCCAGCTGATCAAAAGGTTTGCAAATAGGAAAATGAGCAACATTGTTCCTCTACTTATTAATTGGGATTGATGATCAATGTGGCCTGAAGGAAAAAAATGTTTCAAATAAACAGATGACCAATGAGGTCGGAAGGTCATTATTTTCGAAGGCAGGAGAACTTGGAGCACCAGTTGCAATACTGACAATGAAGGTAAAAGATGCATTCCTCTCCAAGATGTATCCGCAGTTACTATAGGAGTTTGAGATTCTGACAAAAAAATAATTGAGCAATATGTTCACATCCTTAAGAGAAGAAGGGTTCACATTTGGACAAAGAGTTATTATATATTGTCAGGTTGTGCCACTAGAGCTAAAAGAAATGATTAAATTCTTAGCCCTGTTAATTATACAAGTTACTGGTTAGATGAGTTTATGAGAACCCCATCTGCATCTTTTTTTTTTTGCAAAATAAATTTGCATGAATGGACTCCTTTAATGTAAAGTAACAGGGATTTAACTATGCTCTTTGTTACTGAGTTTAAGTTATATTACTATTCTTTGTTCTTGTGTATGCAGGGAATTGGTCCATATATTCAAGAAATAGAGGAGCTCTGTAGGGATTATCCTGCAACTACTGTTATTCTTGATCATATGTCTTTCTGCAAGCCACCAATGTAAGCTTTTGTTTTTGCTTGTTCATAGTTTGCAGGAATGTATTCATATGAAGCTATGGCCTAGTATAGCTTATGTGTTGCATTGACATACAGGAATGATGAAGAAGAGAAGGCACTCTCTGCATTTCTAAACTTATCCAGATTCCCACAGGTAATGTATGAAATTTTCTTATTTTGTTAGCAGATGAATATGATCATGAAAAATATTATTCCTTGTTCAAGCAAGCCATTTTCAGTATCAGCTGACATAGCACCCTCAGGTTTTGCTTTCAGAGATCATGGGACAGTAACATTATTTTCTGAGAGCAGTACCTGACCTGATTTTTTTGTCAAGTACTTGCATCAAGAATAAAGCTGACCCCTAGTGCCAGATTGTAGCAGAAGTTGCCTAGCTAGTACTCTCTCCGTCACAATATTTGTCATTCTTGCCAATCTCACACAAACTAAGGAGCATTGAAGAGGGAAAACTATTCCCTCACTAAATACATCAGTCCTCAATGGCTTCCATAACATTGGCTGGTGCATTTGGCTAGGAGGATGTGATTAGGTGTTGTGGCTACATTGATTAAGGGTAGGGAGTTAATAAAACACAACCTGCGGGGGAGGGTCGGGAGTTAATGATGCTTTGGAATGTGAGGATGATAAGTAATTTGAGAAAAAAAATCCTAGAATGACAAATATTGTGAAACGGAGGGGTGCACTTCTACTTTGTGCTTTGGTATCACTATACTTGCTCTAAAGCCATAATGCATTACTTCAACAGGTTTATGTCAAATACAGTGCTCTTTTCCGCATCACAAGAGAGGCATATCCATATGAAGACACTGCTCAGCTTCTTTCCCGTGCAATATCTCACTATGGAGCCAGTCGAATAATGTGGGGAAGGTGAATTCACAGACCCACTGATAGTTTAAATTGATCATACACTTTAACAGTGCCTGTTTGTGGAAAACAAGTGTTGAATCACCACAGAAACCCCAGCAACAGTTATACTCGATGCTCCTCACTGAAAGTAAAAGAGATCTAGTATTGAATATAGAAATAATATAATCCCTTCATCCTCTGGTACGAACACTATTGCTATGGATTAATTATGCTCTGAACATGTCTGCAGTGACTTTCCCTATGTTGTTCCTGAATGTGGCTACAAAGGAGGAAGGGAGGCGATTTCTCTTGTCGCAGGCAAGATACCTGTTTCCCCGTCAGATTTGGAATGGATCTTGGGGAAAACAGTGAGCCAACTATTCCAAGGTGCATGGGTTACTCCATGATCACTGTAGCTGGTAGGACATTCTATACCAGAGCAACTATATCAAGGGGAATATTTGTCCTATTTTCCAGTGTTTACATGTACACTATTAAACCTGGTATCTACACCAGGCTGCTTGAATGTTGGCATGAATACTCTCTAAGCCATTATGGGTGTGTTTGGTTTCCTGGCAAGCTTGGCTAAGCCTGGATAGGACAACCTTAGCCTATTCCCACTAAGTCAATCTCTTATTGTTTGATTGTCTGTATTGTCTAAGCCTGGCTAGCAAATGATGTGTTTGGTTGTCTGGTTTGTTGTGTATAGAATCATCCTTTCTTCAAACTAGTAACACACAACTACACAGGGATTAATAGAGGCGGGACAAATTGATTAACGGAGGCGGGCATTGTAACCGTATCTAATCAAAGGTCACGGTTAATGCGGATTAACGGAGGCGGTTGCTTTGTCCGCCTCCGAAAATAAATTAAAAAAACAAGGAAAAAACCCATAGCCAACCAGGCCTAGGCTTGGATCTGGGTCGTGCCGCCGCTAACGTAGGGAAGCTTGATCTGCGACGGGGGAGCTCGATCCACAGCCGCATCTGGCCGCCATGGTGGAGCCTGTCGCCGCCGAAGGAGGAGATCCACGCTGCACACTTGGCCAAGATCCAGATGCGCCAGATCCGCACACGCAGAGGGAGGGAGGGAGCCTGTTGGATCCGCCCGAGGTCGGCCGCCGTCGGGGTGGCCAGCTTTGCCGGGTCTGCCACCGTTGCCGAATCCGCCGGCCCGGGGCTGGATGCGGCCTCCCCGTGCGCCAACGTCACCGGATCCGCTCGCGCCGGGGCCAAATCTGGCCTCCCCATATGTCGACCGAGCTCGAGGGAGAGGGATGCGCCGTCGGCCTGGCCGGATCTGGCCTCCCCATGCGCCACCGTCACTGGATCCACCCGCGCCGGGGCCGGATCTGGCCTCCCCGCGTGCCGGCCGAGCTCGAGGGAGAGGGATGCGCCGTCGGAGAGGGAGAGGGATGTGCCGCCGGTCTCCCTGTGCGTCGTTCGAGCTTTAGTTCCGTGGGGGAGATGGAGAGGAGAGGGAGGTGCGCGCCCTGCGTCGGCTATGGGGGAGAGGGAGGAGCCGCCGCCAGGGCTGCCATGGGAGAGAGGGAGGTGAGGGATTCCTAGCCAATGCTCCTCCATGTGGTAAAATATAGATAATGATACCTATAATACTCCTAGTGAAATGCTACAATGGTATTCTGTGCGCTTGTAGAATTCTTATTTTCTAACTCACACTATTAAATACCAACAGAGGGCAAGCTGGGCCAGGATAGCGTGGTGAGAGTTTTTTTTTGCGCTCGCAGAATTCTTATTTTCTAACTCACACTATTAAATAACAACAGAGGGCAAGTTGGGCCAGGAGGGCGTGGTGAGAGTTTTTTAGATTACACAGTACAATGCAGACGCTCACAACGCACGCACACTCACCCGTATGAATGAACGTACGTAAACCCTATTGTAAGTGCATCTAGCCCTTTAGTGGGTTTTGGTGAATTGAATGACAACACCATTAAAGGTCTAACAAGTTTACTAAGTGTTGAACAGGAAATTGAGTTTATTGCATACACTTGTGGATTGTGGAATGAGAAGTGTATATAGGGTCAACAAGAAGGCAAACTTGATGATATTCCACATAATGTTCAAATCAAGGCCAATATTGTGTATTGTTGTGTTGGAAGATCACGAAAACAATATAGTTCAAGAGAAAGACAAGAATGCAAATGGAGTTGATGAAATGGCTTCTATGTTGAGTAATATCATAGTATCATGAGAAAGCAAGCATATTTGGCAAATGTTAAAAGAGACATGAGTTGATGATTTTGGATTGGTCTCAATAATGGCTTACTTTGCATGAACAAGAAGAGTTTGATAGTGGATTAGCTTTGATCAAGTATTGAAGAATGAGATAAGAATGCATAAGTGAAGAAATACCAAGCAAAGGTTTAAATGACAAAGGACACAACTCATTGGAAATAAGTCGGTCTCTATGTTGGTTTGCTTGTATGGATAAAGATTTAGAAAATCACTTTGTATTGCTTTGATCAAGCTAGAAGTATGAAGATAGATATTGAAGTGAGTGTTAGAAGTGTTAAGCCAAGATGAAGAGGATATAAGGAATCATAAATTGGCTTGACCATATTGATGTTGATTCATATATGTCTTTATGTAAATCAAACTAAAGCTTGATTGGTCTCAACATTCATATCTAAAAGATATTCAAGAAAGGATCATACTATTGAGTGTGGCTTGATAAGGTGAAGATAGCAAGGAAAGGGCTTCGAGGGACTAAGTGAAGGTGAAGGGCAAGCGATGGCTTGAGGACCGAGGTACTAGGACTAAGGTGAAGAAGAGTACTGGCATTGAGTCGAGAAACTAATCAAGCTATGAGGAGTCATATTGTGTTGAGGATCAAATCATTAGTGAAAGGTGGGTTTGGTCGAATAGATGAGATAAAGATGAATGTTGGCATTGAGGTGAACTCATATGTATGGAAATTGTTCAAGTCACATACTCAAGGTGTGTTTGCTCGAATAGATGAGATAAAGATGAATGCAACCCCTTATGAAGTGATATTGAGAAGAAATGGCATCTGAAGAGTGGTTAAAATGGTTATATTCTCTTGATCTTGAGTATAGGTATGCCGTACTATCAAGGGAGATGCAATACGAATCATAGACAAGTCTCAAGTGCTCAAACTAACCAAACCCAAGTGCTAATATGAGATAAACCCATTATCACAACACTTGCACTTGTTGATCTTGGGGTTTGTTCTCTACTAGGTTGGATAGCCCTCGAAACAAGCTTTCCGGAAAGTCCAAGACCACTGAAAATGGAATTCGGAGTAAAAAGTTATGGCATTTTCTGTGAGGTGACATGTGTTATTTCTGGGAGCTGCGGCAGTGCCGCACCTGTACAGGTCATAACGGCTAGTTTTTGAACTGCAACGGCTAGCTTGTGTGGGGTGGCTATAAATGCCCATCCCACGTCTCCTGGTGTTGCTGCTGATGCTCAGATCACTCCCAACCCTTCTCAAGCCATTTGTGAGCTCTCTCTAACCCCTCTCTTTGTGAGAGTGAGTGATTAGTGTTTGATTAAGTGTTAGAGAGTAATTAAGAGCAAGCCAATCCTTGAGCACTTGTTGGGCTTCGTCAATCTTCGTTGCGCATTTGTTACTCTTGGAGGTGAAGCCTCCTAGACGGCTAGGCATCGCCCGGCGAGCTCCCGTGCTTGTGGTGAGCCACGGGAAAGTTTGTATTACCCCCATTGATCTAGTGGAAACCCCTCATCTCAAGAGTTCACTCTCTTGACTTGAGAACGACGATAAGGGCTGCAAAGCCTAAGCCTTAGTGGCTTCCTCAACAACGTGGACATAGGCCTTGATGGCGAGCGGAACCACGTGATAATTCTTGTGTCTTATCTCCTTTATGTTTTGAATTGCATTATTCGTGTTCCACTCGATCTACTTGGTTGTGCATGTTTATGAATGCAGGTACTTAGTGGACTTGCCACTGGACATCTCCATGCATATCTCCAAGTTTGGGTTCTAGGCATAGCTGCTATTGAAGCTCTCTGCGCAGGCACGACAATGCCGCATTCTCAGCGAGGCAGTGCTGCAGTGCGGCAGTGCCACGCGACGAAGCAGCAGTGTCGCACACTCTACTAATCTGCTACAAGTTTTATTTGTTGTTAATTTTTAGAAGCGCCTATTCACCCCCTCTAGGCGACATCAAGGTCTTTTCAATTGGTATCAAAGCTAGGCTCTCAAATTTGGGCTTAACCGCCTTGAGAGACGATGTCGACAAGTGAGGAGGTATCTCTAGAACTTCTACTTTTAGATTTTTTAAATTATGTATCTTGGTCCGCTAGTGTGCTTGATGTTTTTAGGGCTATAGGTCCTCATATTGAGTGGATTGTAGATGTGAGCATTTCACCTCCTAGTGATGATCTGGCCATCTTATCTAAAGAGGAAGTAAAATGCTTACAACACAATGCTCAAGTTACTAATGTCTTATTTAGTGCTTTGAGTGAAGATGTTTTTGATGCCATCATATTTGGAGATGATGAACCACTTGATGATGCTCATATCATTTGGACCACACTCAAAGAAAAATATGATAAGTCCAAATATGATGAGAAGACACTCTCATTGGAGGAACCACTTGAGTAGTGCTCAACTTCACCGACAAATGAAAAGCCTCAAGTCATTCACTCAAAAGGCCTAAGTGATCATGTGTGGCAGAACCTCCTAATCTAACGCCTCCCAGGAGTGCTCGTCTTCAATTAGATACTAAGCACTTAGGGGAGAACACTAAATTACTCGGTTCCGTCGGGCACACCCTAGGGGAGAACCCGAAAATCCACATTTTTGCCATCAGGATCACAAATGAGAGAATAAAGCTTATATCATTCTTAACCATTTCTTACATCACTTTTAATACAACATTAGAGTATAATATTTATTATTATAACAGCGGAATGTAATTATATTATCAGAGTTATAAACAGTTTAATTGAACAGCGGAATATAAACATGTGATCAGAATTACAGTGAAAATAAATATCTAATCATGACATGATGAAGTATTGATATATAAACTATGACAATAGATTATGAAACTTTTATTTATAAAAACATTTGGTGAGAGTTATAAATAACAACTACGATCGCAGCGTAAAGGAATCATCGCTTAGCCCACCAGGAGGTATCCACACATAAGGGTCAGCTCTAGCATCCACCTGTCACCTGCAACAGGGGGAATAAAACCCTGAGTACTCAATTGTACTCAGCAAGACTTACCCGACAGGAGGAAAGAAAAGACTCCAAGGATATGCAAGGCTATCTGGCTTGTGGGTTTATTGCATTTGTAGGAAGCATTACTAAGCGTGCGTCCTTATATTCGATTTTTATTAACAACCACATTGGTTCATTAACTAACCATTCTATGTAAGCACCTATACTACTT